ACTGGTCAGATTCAGTTTCAGGGAGCCACTACTGTACTACTTTAACGCTAGAACACGAGGCGCTCCCTAAGAAAGAGCTAATCGAAGCCAACTACTTACTCCCTTCAGAATTGCATCTAAAAAGTATAATAGAGCTTCCACTGCTGCTCAAACCCTTTCTGGAATGCGCCACACATCCTACTTCCGCTCAAATTTCCAGTAGCTTATTCAATGCGATATGGCCCCCACGGTGACATGCGGGGCCAGCCAATGTACAAGTCAGCGGCTGTATTCTCCTAGACACATCCGCTTCCAATTCACCGGCCCCAGAGGATCGAGAGGCCTGGCTGGTCTGGGAAGAGGCCAATCTGAGATCTGATCCCAGGACCGTGAGCGTGGTAAGCGCGCCACTCGCCACTACACCACCTCAGAAATTCATTTAGATGAATTGAAAGAATGATATGAATAATTCTACGTAAAAAAAGACTAAGAAACAAGTATCACCTCTACTGGGTAACCTCGTGTGACAGACGCCTTCGTATACATTGAGCTGAGCACATCAGCATTGTCAGGCAATTCTTCAACCGGCCTGTACGAGGATTTTGGGATATGACCACCTGCTGGACAATCTGCTAAACAAGTACCACCTGAAAAATAATTTTTGAGTATGTTGGCTCTCACGGAATCCCAAAAAAACTTGTCTTACCTAAGAAGTCCGGAATGTATTGTTCGTCAACGTATTTACTAATTTCATCTTTTACTACCTCGCCACTATTGATCATGAACTTGTTGCGAGTATTCTCATCGATGAATGGAGATATAAGAGTCCATAAAACTGGAAAGACTCGAGGGGCTCTAACAATCAGCACTTGACCCATCGTTTCCGGATAATGAGCCTGGAAGCTGTCTTTCAGAGGAACAGTCAGCACCAATCGTGAGGGTGGAGATAGAGAACCACTCTATCGTCTTCACTGGTGCGCCTTTCCCTCTGAGCCAATGGCCCGTGTCTGCGTCCTTCTTCCAGGATTCAGTAAGAGGGGCGCCCCAGTAGGAAAGAACAATGTTCTCTGCCTCCGCCCGTACGACCAGCATGGACTGTGCCTTCATTTTAACAATTTGTTTCACCACTTTGTACACCGAAAGAAACAAAGAAGAAAGAAAATTCAAAGAAATCGCAAGAAAACCGAGAAAAAATTTTTCACACTGTGTTGACAGTAGTGTTTTGCTGTGCATATTGTAGCTTTGAAAAGAATCAAAATATCCTTGACTCCGCATGAATACGGTACTACTTTACCCTACAAGGAACACAGAATCCGATACTCTTCCTTGAGACTAACCTCAACGATTTCGATGATGCGCAGTAGAGACTGCACACCTGGTCGCCAAAGATGCCGCATGCTTAGGCCTTCCAAGTCGACCAGAAGACTCCATGTGCTATAAATGAACAGAAAATCAATAGCAAAATGAATTTCACAGCATTGCCCACTCACTAACTGACAATTGAGATGAACCCCCAGTCTTCCACAAAACATGGCTAGAGCGTGTGCGGTCGCGCAGCGGCGAGCCGCATGTAATTAGCCCTAATATTCAGCTCCAGCCTATCTTCGAAAGACGCTACAAAGTCCACGACGGACTTCACTTCGCTGCATGCCATGGAATGCATCCGCGAGACGACCGCGTTCGCATGAACGCCCTATCACAGGACCGAAAAAAGGCTAATCAAAGTTGACCGTTAACTAACAAACCTGATAGGTGCTCCAATTTGTTTTGTTGCTTCAGCTGTTTTTATTAAGCCCTCCTCACAAATGGACAACGTGAGCTTGACGATATTCTCCAAGCCGCAAGATCGAAGCATTCCTTTCATGTCAAGATTACCCAGACGTAACAAGAAGCAACTGGACCTCCCATTCCTAAAGGACGGTGACAAATACAGAATACTGATAAATATCGCTGATTGAAGATTATAATTATAATATTAATCAACTATATATAATGATGAATGAAAAATTAACACTCAAAAAGAAGTATAAACCTTGTCGCTGTGATGCCAACATCCTGGAAAGAATTGCGTCAACACCGCAGGGGGAGTCCATTCCTGTAATGAGATAAAAATAAATCAAAAGCAGTGACGAATTTTTCGAATGTGACCAACAGGCAATCGATCAATAGATCAAACTACTACTTACTTGTAATATCCTATCAACATTATGTTGTTTTCTCCAGATGATGCTATTGTGGACGAGCTCCTTCGCTTTGGCAACATCAAAATCTCGTGCTCGTAAGAATCGTAACAAATGCGCGTCGTT